GAAAGAGTGAACCAAACAAATGTGCAATTGTGCTCAAATAGTCTTTACAAATAAGGGGATAATCTCTGAGGAGTTAACTATAGTTTTTTGTTGTGATGACAGTTGGTACTGTTTTCCCCAGTAGGATGTTGTGTTAGGCTATTGTTCTCTCCAGCATGGATTTGTTTAGCTGAATTATAAAATCTGTAAAACTTTATCTAAAATTGTTTAACAAGATTTTTTTAAAACACTTTTTTTTTTTTTAAGGCAGGGATTCATGTTTGCTTGCATGTATCACTGAGAATCAGCCTGCACGCTATTTCTTTAGAAAGCAAACTAGTGAGAAGTTGAATGCATAGGCAGCAGTTTAGCACAGAATTTTTGAGGGGCATCTGTCTCTGAAAGCATGTAGCTTTTTTTATTTGTGAGCAGATCTAGATTTTTCCCTGTTAGTGACTGCTCTGAGTTCAATACCTTTTTATCGCAATATGTGGCCAGTTCAGTTTCCTTCTCTACAAGTCATCCTTTCTTGCTTATTTTTAGCCTCACTGAAATTCAAACAGTCATCTTTGTTTCTGTTCCTGTTTTGTATACTGATATTGTTGGATAACTTCAAAGATGTCAAAGCAGTGAGAAGAGGTATTGTTGATATAAGCTCCCTCTGCTGGTTAGTTCTGCAGTAGAAATAAAGCTGTATGGTATAGAGTTGTTTATCACTGAATCATGCAACAGAAATGAAAAGATAGGTAAAAGCAGTGATATACAATGTTTCTAAAAGCAACTAGCTACCAGACGCCCAAGTTTAAGCTTACGACTTTTATACTTGTAAGGTTTTTAATTTCAATTAACTTAAAATCTAGATGTTGATATGTGACAGATACTTCTTAGAACAGCTGCTGCCATGTTGCATACAGAATCTGAATGATAGCTTGAGAGAAAATATATTGAGACAGCTATTTGCATACAGATTAAAATAACTCCACTACTTCGGACTCCATTTGGTACATTTGCTACTACATTGCACTTACAGACTTTCAGTTAAGGTGCGGGTGTTGCATAGGAGCGGGGTCCAGGCCTCTACGTGATTATCAGGAGAAGTAAACAATGAATTTAGCTCTCTTATTGATGCAGTACAGGAAGGGTGAGTGAAGGACACTGTGTTTCTTTGTGCAACTGCTTGCAGGGACATGACCGAAGTCTCCTAGATCAGCCTTTCGTAGCAAGGATTTGCCCAGAGGAAACTCTGCACACGCTTTCCCTTCCCATATTCAGACAAACGTTGCTCAGGGATGAAGCTTGAGTGTGATTGGTGTGATAGGTAATCACAATATTGCAGTGTCTACCCATTTGGGAAGTGTGCAGTATGTCTTAGAGGATGCTAAAATTAATTGGGTTTCTGTTTTGTTAACACAGAGTTGCTTTACTGACATCTCCATTTACAGTTCTATATGTAAACATATATTCCCCAAATACTTTTTTCCTACTATAGACCTTTTTTTTTTTTTTTTTTTTCCCCCCCCTCCTGTGGAAAATAGAACCTTTATTAGAAAACTAGGAAAGTAGATAAGGTTGTTAAGGAATCCATCTTTAAAAGAGGGAAAAGGTGGTGCTTATGCTTAGATTGGGCATTTATTTCTGTGGAAAATGGAGAATAAGTAGTTAAAACAGCTTTCTATATGCAGCTAAGGCTAAGAAACAGTAGTCTGTGTATAACTTCCAAATTTTTGTGTTATCTCACTCATAAACATAAACAAAAATAGCTGCTGTTGCTACTGTAAAAATGTTGCAACTGAATGTACTCCAGCAAATGGCAGCATCTAAGGACAATATTTGTAGAGGGGAAAAGGGTGTGTGTTTGGGGAGAAACAGTACATATTACATAAAAGGCAAGAGGTGTTTTTTGTTTGCTTGTTTTTGTTTTTAAGAATTTTTGTTGCTAAACCTAGAGAGACTTTAGGATTGAGATTTATTAAAGAAACTAACCTGCCAGTGGCAGATGAGTTATTGTTGAAAACCTTTTAGGAAAAACCTTTGAAATAACTTTGTAGGATTGTAGTAATGGTTGAAATTGGAAAAATACAGCATTGTTTTAGTTAAAGCAGTGTTACAACTGTCAAAAATTGTAATGTTCTTCATCTGTGGATGGAGTCCATTGCTCATGTCTTCAATCTGGAAAGTCTTGTGTGCTTGAAAGCTTTTCTTTTATCTACTGGTATTAGTTTGTCTGACAAGATATCCACTTGAGCTTTGAGGTAGGGGAAATGCCGTGTAACTTGCATAGGTCTTGGCAGTGCTTGGAAAGGTGTTGTCAAAGAGGAGTGGTTAAGTGAGTCATACAGTAGTGGAAAATAAGCCAGGCGGATTAAAGACCTAGTGCAAAGATCAGAAAGAAAGAGATGAAGTAGCACGTTTTAAGCTGGTTACCTTTAGAGTAGAATAAGTTCTTAGGGTGCTGTAAAACTTCTTAATGTTAATTTACTAGGACATTCTCCATCAAAATAACGTTTTGTCTTCAGGTCTTGACATGTTTGTGCCTTGCCAATCGTATATTGTATGAGGCAAATTAAATAGGTAAAGTCAGAAGGGACAATTACTTGGTCTGCTCAAAAGATCAAGTCCTCACTCTCCTTTTAATTGATTAATAGTGTCATATGTTAAAAGATTTGCCAAAGTGAGGTAGCAGATCTTAGCAGCTAACTAGCCTGAGTTTATAACTGGACTAGAAATTAAGAAAGCTTAAATGCATTCAAATCTGTTTACCTGTGCAGAATGTGCGGTGGTCTTGGCATCAGGTAGACTTTCAAAAGCTGTTCTACAAATACATCTGTTATGAGTGTGCCATCTGGAGACTTCAGGTGTTTTCAAGACCTGCTTCAAATGTGAAATGTAGTGTGAAGTCAGGCTCTTAGTGAGAGAGGTGCCTATAGAGCAGAGATGGGTTTGTTGGAGCAATGTTATGAAATTTCATAAGGAGATAAATCTAGGTTTTGTTTGTGTTGGGTTTTTTTTGTACACTTACTTTCACTGTGACCTCAGTGTTTCTCAAACTTTTAAAAAATAATAATAATAAAACCCCTCCTCCCCAAAACCATCTGCACTGAATAACCTGTATTTTAGGATTGACTGCTGGTCTTGAATAGCTTTCTGAAGCCGTGTCTTGGTTGTCAGCACAGTTTTGAGAACCAAGCATCAGAAGCAAAGGAAAGAGGCTCTCTTGTGTTCTCACTGTGGTCCATATCTGATACCCAGGCATCAAACCTGACTTGAAAGCAACAAAGCAAAGAATAGGGTGATGGGATAGAACTGGAGCGAACAAATTAAAAGAAAAGAACTAAATGTTGATGAGAGGATGGCATCTGGATAGAGACTGTGTTTCTTACCCTTTGAATGACCCCTTAGCGTTTTGTTGGGTTTTTTTAGTGGTTTGTTATGATTTGTATCACATCACTGACATTCTCCACCTAGTGCTTTTCAGATTTCACAAAATGCTGTCAGTGGCAGAATCCCTTCAGGGTATGAGCAATGTTACAATTTTTATCTGCAGGATTGAAGGCCTAAATAAGCTCTGTAGGTTTGTGTTGACTGCCAGCTTTGTTCTTGAGCTAGTGCAGTTGCCCTAAGGAAACTGGGAAAAAGGAGCATTGTGGAAGGATGGATTGCATACATCTGTGTTCATTGACAGATGATGTCTATACCCGGTCATGTTTCCAGCTTTTAAAGTGGTCCAGCTTGTTTCTAAGCAACAGATTATGAAAATTTCACTTCATCACTTTTCCCTGATGTGTTTGACTACTTAACTATACAAACTCATGAGTCTATTTCATGCCTTTGTGCTCTCACAGATAGTTTTTGACCATAATAAAAGCTTTTGATTGTGCAAGAGATGGTAGATTTGGGTCATATGCTCAACAGCCCCTGCTTTATTTTTATTTGCGGGTTTCACATATACATCAACACCTTGCTTACATGTCGTATATAAGTTGTAAGACTACAAAAAGTTTCACAAATGAAAATATTATAAATGGGAATTCCAACTGAAATTCCCTCTGATAATGCTCTCAGAAATCCACTCTGCCACCAGTGGATATTTGCTAGGTCACAAACTTTTAGTGTTTGCTTGTAGAACAGCAGATGTTCAGCTGTAGTGAATACAGTTTACTTAAATATCCTGTTAAGAAAAGATCTGTTCTTCCAATGTCCTACCAGTGACTTGCTACTTTTTCACCTTAATATGTGGAAATATAATTCCATATTTCGTATGGAATAGAATGTTATACCTTCAGAGACACAACATATGTCTTTTCTCTCATTTAAAGGAAATCATCTTATTACCCGTTGATGAAAGTGCAAAATACACTTTTAATAAGCTTTTGGTTTTATTACAGCAATGTCATCTTACTTGTAGAAACGTCATGACACACAGCAGCATCATGGTGGATGTAGGCAAGTGGCCAATATTTACCTTACTGTCACCTCAAGAAATAGCATCTATTCGGAAAGCATGTGTGTTTGGTACATCAGCCAATGAAGCTATATACATAACGCACAATGATGAGGTAAGGTTGTAATAAAGTGGAACATATGCTCTACAATCAGTTGTTTTCAGGGTCCACTGAATACTTGTAAATTAATAGCTTCTTAAAAGCATTGTGTGAAATTTGTATATTTCAAAGCATATTGGATGTAACTTGTAAGGTTTGGGTTTTTTTAAGTCTTATATGGGGGCAATATAGATGGAGTATTTAGAAAACTTACAAATGACAAAAGCCAGGATGGATTACATGCACTTTTGAAGATGGTCAGAATTTGAAATAAGTTGCGGTAGCTTGAAATTAAGTGCAAGCACTCCAGGTATGAAGATACAAAATGAGGTGATGGCTTGCTAAGTAACAATACAGCAGGAGTTTATCTATGGATTTTAATGATTCAGAAACTCCATGTGAGTTAGCATTGTGCTGTTGAAAGAAAACAAACCAGATGTTCTGCAGTATATTAATGGGAGGGTTGTTTGTAAGACTAGGATTTTTTTTCTTTTTTTTCCCCCCCCCCCCAAGTTCTATTAAAGCTGCCTGTAGGATGAGCCTCTCATAGTGTAGCTGTGGCTGTTCTTTACAAACTGCTTTTAAAAGAAGATGGTGTCTTCCACTTTCACAGTTTAACAGTTTTTATAGTACAGTTCCTGCAAATGAGAAGCATAGCTCCCAGGCCTGCACGGATCTGAAGAATTCAGACTCATCAGTTAACTTTCAAAGTGTCCCCATGCTGACTCTTGAGCTTATTAACTTACATGAAGGAAGTCTCCGGCTCTCAAGAGTCCATGGCAAAACTCCGTCCTGGCTTTATGAAGACGTGGATATTACAACATCTGTGCATACTTGAGTATGAATCACTTGAAATGACTGTTCCTCTGTTTTTCAGGTATTTGTTTTCGGACTGAATTGCAGTAATTGTTTGGGAACTGGAGATAATCAGAGCACAATAGTACCAAAGAAATTAGAAGCCTTATGCGGAAAGAAGGTTTCCAGTCTCAGTTATGGAAGTGGACCCCATGTTGTACTTTGCACTGAAGGTAGAAAATGAATATTTGGTGTAGAAACATAAGTTACAGATTTTAAGTTCCACTTGCATTTAACAAGAATGGATTAAGGTGTAATTGTATTAACTTGTTAATTGGTTAATGTACACTAAGGGGTTCTCATTGGTCTTAAGTGGAACTAAATGTATTCTGTAATAGGTAAAGTAAGTTTCTGTTACATTTCCATTATGTTGCAACTATAGAGTTTTACTCTGTCATTTATGACATACTCAGTCTTACCTGTGCACTTCCGTGTATTTCCACAATAAATCTAGAGATTATACTGTGAGATATGTATATAAAATAGTTGTATACTGAGTACATATTTTTTTAGTATACAGACGATTGTTGTAGTAGTTTTACTATTTGTTACTGTCCTTTCATTTTCATGGTGGCATTTTCTAATTTCTTAGAATTCTATCTATCTTAACTTCCTTGGAATTTTTGGTGCTTTTATCACAAATATTTTCGCAGATGGTGAAGTGTATGCTTGGGGACATAATGGTTACAGCCAGCTTGGGAATGGCACAACCAATCAGGGCATTACTCCTGTTCAAGTTTGCACAAATCTGTTAATAAAGAAAGTGGTGGAAGTAGCCTGTGGCTCTCATCATTCCATGGCGCTGTCGTTTGATGGGGATGTAAGTTGAAACCTGTTCAATCCTCTTAATCTCCTTGAAGTGAATAGCGCAGGTGACCTTGCAGTCTGAAGTTCTCTCTTTCTCTACAGTGTAGTTACAACATAAACTTTTCTCCTGCTGCCTCAAACTAGGGTGTCCTTTCCTTCAGAACAGACTTGAAAACAACTCAAAAAAACCCCACCCACAAACCCCAATAAAAACCCCCAACCCAACCACAAAAGCAAAGGAATAAAAGGCTAATAAACTTTTCTGTCTTTCATTTGTTGTACATCTCACAGGCACTAGACCAGAAAGCTGTGCCACTTACAGGTGAAAGGATGGTTTGTAAGGTGCAAAATGTAACATTGTTATTTGTTTGCAGTTCTGTTATTTAAGGGGTATGTTGAGTTGTTTGTATTCACTGGTTAGCCTTTAGTCTGTTTCTTGTAATCTTCATGATTTCCACACTGGCACTGTGAAAGAATGTTGCTCTGCACGCCCCTGAATACCTCTGTGTGTAGCTAATGAAAGAACACTTGGTTTTGTCCAAGTCTCCTTTATGCTATTTGTTGACATGGTTTTAGGCTATATGTCATGGGAAACGTGCAATTAGTTTCCAGTTAGTCAGATTTGACTAGTGTGTGTGTATCCGATTTGAGTTGCATGTTCCTGCATGGAGGAAAGCCTGGTTTCAGCTCTGCTTTAACAAAAGAGTTATAATTTTAAAACCTTCCTAACAGTGAAAATAGAAACTACAATTCTTTCCATCCTGGTAATCTGAGCATGTCTGTGCTAGGATTCAGTATGCAGTAGTCATAGTGCAACAGTAATACAAAGTAGCAAGTCAGTATTTTGAAGGTAGGAAAGAGACACTGGGTTAATTTAAGTGATCTGTGTTGTGTCTAAAAGGAGAGCCGATGCCTAGGAAAAATCTTCATGCTGTCACATTTGACTTGGCTAATCTGTAAGGTTTGGTTTGCATACAGGAAGGTGAGGGTGTTCATGTACTTGTTAAACTAGTGGTGCCAGCTGCTGTGTGGTAGCTGCCTGTGATGACCCTGCCATCTCTTGTAATAAATGTAACATGCTTGAAATCTCAATGGAAGCACGGAAGCTTCTTTGTATTTACTGTGGACTTGATATTTGCAGCTTGCTCGCCATTGTGGCTAGTTAATGTACTATAAATCTATCCCTAGCGTACCTTGCAGTACGCTATTTGTGCTCAGAGGTTTCATCTGTATAAGAATTGATTATACTGAAAGCACTGAAATGTGTTGAGTAGGGCTTTATTTACAGAAAGATTTGGCTGCAAAAACCCTTGTGACTTGATTTATCTGGATATTGTGGTTTAACCCCAGCGAGCAGCTCAGCCCCATGCAGCCACTTGCTCGCTTCCCCACGGTGGGATGGGGGAGAGAATCGGAAGGGTGACAGTGAGAAAACTTGTGAATTGAGATAAAGACAGTTTAATAGGGAAAGCAAAAGCTGCGCACGCAAGCAAAGCAAAACAAGGAATTCATTCACTACTTCCCATCAGCAGACAGCCATCTCCAGGAAAGCAGGGCTCCATCACACATAACGGTGACTTGGGAAGGCAAATGCCATTGGTCTGAACGTCCCCCCCCCTTCCTTCTTCCTCCAGCTTTATATGCTGAGCATGACATCATATGGTATGGAATATCCCTTTGGTTAGGTGGGGTCAGCTGTCCCAGCAGCCATGTGTACTCCCAAACTACTCACTGGTGGGGTGGGGTGAGAAGCAGAAAAGGCCTTGACTCCGTGTAACCACTGCTCAGCAGTAGTGAAAACACCCCTGTGTTATCAACGCTGATTCCAGCACAAATCCAAAACATAGACCCATGCTAGCTACTGTGAAGAAAATTAATTCTACCCCAGCCAAAACCAGCACACTGGAGTTTCAGAGAGGCATTGAAGTTGGAAATATTTGTGGAAATGTTTAGCATAATTGATTTGTACAGTTGGCTCAGTGCAATTTTAATGCCATGCAAATTTAAAAAAAACAAAGTATCCTAATGATAGACTTAAAGGACTGCAGACATTCATGCTTCTCTGAGAAAGGAAACCTTCTGAGATTCTCTACCTTAATTTTTTTTCCATGTTACTGAAATTAAGGTATTTTATAGAGCATCTTCAAGTATTCAGTAGGAATCAAAGATCCGGTAAATACAAGTAACAGAAAGCAAAGGACTAATGCTTTCTTTTGTTCATACTAGACATGGTAAACTAATTATGTTGCTGGGAGGTTTTTTGTTCTTGTATTTGGTGGGGGTTTTGTTGCTTGGTGTGTTTTGGGTTTTTGGTGGTTTGTGGGTTTTCTTTTTTGTGGCAGGGGAGGTGTTTATTTCTAATTACTTTTGATTTGGTGTCACAGTAAACAGGTGGCTGTTGGCATCAAAAGGTGTGCAGACTTCACATTAGGGTATCTTCTGTCAGTGTGCTTTTACTGACTAGCATATCTGTGGCTGGGTAGTTCCAAGAGAACAAACTTTTTGACTAGGTGAAGCACCAGGGGTTGAACTATCAGAAATAGTTTTGTTCCAAGCTGTGGGTGTGTATGCACATAATAAAAATGGAAGGAACTGAAAATATGAAGCTGTAAAATTATTATTGTTATTATTTTTTTATAGCAAACTACTTCCCTGTCTTCTGGAATTTTAGAGTAAAGAAACCAATATTTTTGTTTCTATTATTACTAGTTTGCCATTGACAAACTTTGAACTGTCAGAGATGGTGCTTTTTTGTTAATGCCATTGTGTAAAGGAGTTTTGCTACCATGAAATATGGGCTGACAAAACCAACTCCTTTCACAGCTCTTGAAGATAGAAAAGATGTATGACGAGTGTCCAGCAATAACCCAGTTTAGAGTTCTATAAAGAAAACTCAATAGCTGTAAATTGGGGAGTTCAGATTGTCTCGGAAACAAATAACATTCTGGCTTGCATTTCTTTTTCCAACATTGTAAAAGTATAAAGACAGTCCACTCACTATGCTCTTTATTTTATAGTCTAACTTAGATTTAATAAGGAAATATGTTCCTTTTGCTTTCTCTTGTAGTCAGATGTTCTGGCTGTATCAAGAAGCTGAAAAAAGTGTTATGTTCATATTTACTAGATCAGTCTTATTGCTGTTTATAGTTTTCAGCTGTTGAAAATTAATTTTAAGCATTTTTGCTTATTAAATAGGGTAGTTTACCCAATCTGATATTGACTATAATAAGATTATAGTTTATTACTATTATTAAGGCTTAAACTGCTGGTTTTTGTTTGTTTGTTTTTATGGACAGCTGTACGCTTGGGGCTATAATAACTGTGGTCAAGTTGGATCTGGATCTACAGCAAACCAGCCAACTCCTCGCAGAGTTTCAAACTGTTTACAGGGTAAAATGGTCGTTGGCATTGCTTGTGGTCAGACCTCCTCCATGGCTGTAGTAAACAACGGTGAGGTAAGCATCACTTCATTCTCATGTTCTGTCTCTTACCTAAAATTAGGGGGTTAATGTCTGAACATGAAGAAATACTGGCATCGAGTGGTCAAGTTAGAGAGTTATACTGAAAGTTATATAGATTTATACTGATAACTTCTGAGAGAACAGTTGAAGGAAAACTCTGCAATTAACTGGAGATTCTGTCTGTACACTAAACGTTCCATCTTATGGCAAAGACTGTAGTGGAACATAATTCTGACTGAGTTTGCAACTGCAAGAATTTGAACAGTTGTATTAAGCATGTCTGTCTTCCTTATTTCAATAGATTGTTTAACATATGTCTTAATTAGAATTTTGAAAGTGTGCACAATTAAATAGTTAACCTTTCTGCAAGAATACACTGACTGATCCTGGTTCTTAAACACATTGCTTAATTGCCAGCAACAAAACCAAACTAAGATTTTGAACATTGCCCTAGTCTTGTGCAATTGTTCTGTTTCACATAAGTTTATGGTGCTATCTTGCTTCTAGGTATGAACTGTAACCTCAATTTTACTACATTTCACTGAACTCTGAGTGTAGCATGTCTTTGTGACTGGAGGGACTGTAAAAGTCCCTGCAGTTGAGATGACCTTTCATTGTATTTACTTTTGTCTTGATGTGTCCACTATAACAAAACTAAAGGAAAAAATTAGAGCTGAACTGGGGACTTCAGTTTAAACTAATCTAATGGCTAATCAGTTGATCAGAATAACTAATTCCTTGTTTTCTTTAAAAAAAGAAAAAGCAATAAGGAGAAAGGGAGGTGTAAATGTAAACTAAAATGTTGACTCTATAGGAGACATTTTGGTGTATTTTAAGTCTATTGCAAAATTCCTAGTACTTCAAAAACATTTTAGAAAGCTTCTTTAAAAGGTAAATGCAGGATTGAAAAGTTGAATACAGTCCGTCATTGCAGCATATTTAATATTTCAGCCTTCTGTATGTTGCTCTTGAAGTAGTATACGGTTTTGTAAGAAGATGTACTTTTTTGACTTGTGCTTGATACTAGTCTTAAGTGTTCTATACTTCTACAGAGGAGTGGCTTAATTTTACTTTCCTTTTGCAATCAGGTTTATGGCTGGGGTTACAATGGTAACGGTCAGCTAGGTCTTGGAAACAACGGCAATCAACTAACGCCATGCAGAGTGGCAGCATTACATGGTGTGTGTATACTCCAGGTATGGCTAATGCGGAAACGAAAATGCACTCATGTTGCTAGCATCTTCTAAAACAGTATCTTTGGAATCTTACACCTGCTTCTAGATTTCACAGTTGAAATACTGGGGGTTTTTTGGGTTCGGTTATTTTTTTTTAGCTCCTATAAATTAGGTTTATAAAAAGTGCAAGTAAGCTGCAAAATACTTGCTTTTGTAAGTATTCTGAATGATTTAAAGTTAGCTAATTAACTAGAAGTAAGTTATGCTACGGATACAAATTGCATCTTTGTTACAAAGCTGAATGAATGAAATGCACTTGGCAAAGACAAGAAATGAAGGGGAACAAGAAAACCAAGATGATCAAATTAAATTCTACATTAGTATTAGCCTTTCAGAAGTGAGGGGAGAGGGGAAAAAATGAGTCATGGGTGTGGGGTGGGTTGGTTGGTTGTTGTTTTGGTTTATTTTTTTCTGAGCTAAAGAATAAAACTGAAAATTGGGATTTCCCTAGGTTTTTAGTAAGGTTATGTGGAGTTCCATGTGGTAACTTGGGCTGAATGGTTGTTGGCTGTTGAACTGCAGCTTTCATCGTTTGTGTAGTATTGAAAATATCAAATTCTCAAAGTATTTCAGAGTTGCGAGACATGATGATGAAGCTCACTGTTCTTCGTGTGAAGAGTCTGCAACTGAAAGCAAGTAAAGGCTAGGGAGACTTTGCAAGAGCGCAGTAAATCATTTAGGAGTAACCAATGGATGCTAAATTAATGAAGTTGGGACTTTTCCAGTACTTACAGTTAACTTATTTTGTGTTAGCTTTAAGTACTGAGAAATAACTCATTGTAGCACTAAATGAAGAATGCCTGAGATATTTAACATCAGCTAGACTAAGGTAATGTGTGCGGTAATTTTGTTTCTCTTCTCTGTATTGTTTAGTAGTAATGCTTATACGTTTACTTACAGATTGCCTGTGGCTATGCGCACACACTAGCACTAACAGATGAGGGTTTGCTCTATGCCTGGGGAGCTAACACTTATGGGCAGCTGGGAACTGGCAATAAAAGTAACCAGCTAAGCCCGGTGCAGATCATGATGGAAAAAGAAAGGTAATCTTGCTGAAGCTGTTTCTGGATTGATAAGTCTGAGCACGTGTTATGCAGTCTCTAGCACTGGAAGCATGCGTGTTTAGGGCTTGGTGGATTGTTTTTCTATTGCTAATGTTAAAAGCATAGGAAAGGATGGTAATCTACTGTTTAGTATAGACTGCATGCTGCTTTCTATCTGTATTGATTATTGAAAGTAAACATACTTTGTATTTACCTGATACTGAGAGATAATGAATAAGTGTCAGGCTATTCTAAATATGGTTCCTTTGATTAAAAATCTGGAGCTATGAAATTGATAAGCCAAGCTTTTTTTAAGCTGCGTTAAGGCCTACGTTAAAAAAAAAAAAAAAAAAAAGACACAAAAAAACCCCAAAAACAAAAGGAGGGGGCAAGGAAGTGCCACCTTTGTAAAAAATGTTTTCTGAAAGGCTGACAATAGCCAGCCATGAGAACAGAACTTGATTTGCAAAGTTGCTAGAGCTAAGGGCAGATAATACTACTTTTATCAGTGGTACCAGTCCATAGTTTGTAGTTTCTTAGCTTCCTAGACTCATAAAAGAATAACCCTTACCCTTGTCCGCCCTCTTTCAGCACACTTGTCATCCTCATATTTGGGATGGTTCTTCTGCTGTTCACCTGGAAGCTTGGACCTCAGTCCCATTCTCTGGACCAATGTGTATATGTATAGATTAACGTGCCTCAGTTTGGAAACCTCTTAGTCTATAAATCCCTTAACCTGTAAATCTCTTAATTTGTAATCTCCTCTTAACTAGGAAACACTTGTGGTTGGTTTTTTCTCCTCCATTTCTGAACTGTTTTCTGGGAAGTCATTCCTATTTTTTCCCTGTTCCTCACACTAACATCAAATTAAAAGCTGCACAATACTGAGATTATTTAAAAAGCTTAAAAAAATGGGGGAGGGGAAAGAAGAAAGGAACCATCACAATAGAAACAGCTGAGGTGAGGCTGGCTTGTCTGTGAAAGAACTGACACTAGCAATGCAAAATGAAATATTCTTTAAAAAAGCACTGGAAGAAAAGTGTCTATGTTTGCAAATAGATCAACTTTGTTTTCTTAGTGATTTATTTCTTGAGTGAACTAGGAAGGAACTGTTGCATTTAGAACTATATGGGAACTCAAGCATGGGGTTATAATGAAACTGGCATTTGTCCAGTGACTCAAGGAGGGAGAAAATATCCTAGAACTTCTGCTTGGAATCTAAGGGAGAGATAAGTCACTTGAACTTACTCATCTTGCTTGACTTGGCTTCTTGGAAACAGTGCTATAAGTGGGTGAGCTGTCATCTCCCATGAAGCATATTAATTTCCTGGTCCTTTCATTTATATTACTCTTTTGTCATTTATGTGTAATGCTGGTGACAGTTCCTTAGGAGGTGGCATTTGATGCTGTCTTGAAGAATACTGCACATTGAGCTTGTAAGGAACTTTTAGACTTTATTTTGTGTTAGCTTGGAGGAACAGTTATGAAGGTCAGCTTCCTGAATTTTGATGTTAGGTATATGCTTAACATGTTATCCTGTACATGTACTGTAAGTATACTGTACGTGTACTACACATGTTTTATAGTACATGTTCTACTATGCTGCTTAGGTATAGTATAGTTACTCTAAAAATAAGAATCTGTTTTGCTAAGGAAAGAAAGTTTGGGGAAGGAAGTAGTTTAGGTGGATAGTTATGATGGACAACAAGTTGTCCTTAAAATAATTACTTTATGATCTCTTAGGCAGAGGTGCTGAAATACCTCAATGTGGCATAGGGGTTCGTAGGTTGATAATGGTCTAAACCAACCTACCAGTCCTTTGTCTGCCAGAAATTGATATGTATACTGAAAGTTATCCTGAAATAATTTTTGCACTTCAAACGTGGGCTTTGCACTAAAAAAGCTTTTTGCATAAAAAGCTCTCTTCATGGATATTGTTCTGTAAAGGAATAAACATTTTGATATGTATATTCTTAGGCTGTTTGGGAAGACCTTTATTTGTCCCGGTTGATCTGTTTCTGGCACAAAAGCATGAAATCCTCTGATGCATTTTTAGCATGGAGGAAGAAAAGAGGAAAGCATAGCTTTTATTTTGAATTAATGCTGAAAATTCTTCTGGTTTATGCTTATCATATGAACAGAGACACTAGAAATGTCCTTGCAGTCCATTTAATGGAAGGGATATTCTTCTCAGTTCTTGCAATGTTTCAGATGGCAAGATAGGGATTGCGTGAGCAATGGGAGAACAGAACAGATAAGTGTGCATCAGCAGCTCTAATATTTTAAAGAAGTATGTGAGGTGGGTGAGCATACTTTATAGACTTATTTTAAAAAACAACTATAGCTCTTCAAGAATGTGGAGTTAAGTGTGTGTATTCACCTCCCCTCAAATGAAGCACTGTCCATGTTCCATGCTGAATCTCAGTGTTGAGGAAAGGAAACTTAACAGCAAAATAAGAAGTCAGAAATACAGGCAGTAGGTCAGATCTCTGTCTACATACAAAAAACAGGTTAAACGTGGGGTAGAAGGGTTTCATAATAAAGCATTTATTGAAAAATACATAGGATCTAAATCTCAAAATGAGAGAATTTTTACATCATCTGTTTGAAAGAAGTTTTGAAAAATGCTCTGCAAAAATCTTATTAGTGCAACTTTCCTGCCTGTTCCCTAATGAATTTTCATAAGCTCCATAAGCATTTCTTCTTGAGAATGTCTGATGTGCATTGGTTTTAAAGGGGAAAACGAAAACTGTTTTGCTTCATGCCTTTCCCATGGTTATAGAAGAAAAGGAGGAATGTCAACTGATGATAATAACATAATTAAAGCAGTATCTGATTACAAAAAAATCTACGAGCAATCTGAAAATGTCATTGCCGTTTTAAAATATTGATTCATTCAGACAGTTTCATATTCATGCAGGACAAAGAAAGTACTACAGAAGTGTAGATGCATAGTTTGGTTAGCTGTTATTTTGGTAAAGCATTTGGGAAGTCGCTTGATTCTGTACCTGCAAGTATCTTACAAGGTTTCTTCTGTTTCCCAGGGTTGTGGAGATTGCAGCCTGCCACTCTGCTCACACGTCGGCTGCCAAGACCCAGAGCGGCCAGGTGTACATGTGGGGCCAGTGCCGTGGGCAGTCAGTGATCCTTCCCCACCTCACTCACTTTGCCTGCACTGACGATGTGTTTGCTTGCTTTGCTACCCCTGCCGTTATGTGGCGCCTTCTATCAGTAGGTGAGAACCAGCTCCGATATGGTAGCCAGTGCTATAATCTCTGTGTACATTTGTAGTGATTAGTATATCTGTGGCAGGATAGTTCCTGCTTTAAGGAGAACTGGCAATTAAAACTACCTCTTTTAGCTAGGTTTTTTTTCTTCTGAAGAAAACAGTCTACTTCAGCAGCTAAGGATCCGGAATAGGGTTAACAGGATTGTTTGTTTGTCACCTTGAGAGAACCCTGTTTTACCATTGCATTGTGAATATTGTGTATTTCCTACGTTTGTATTGCTTGAGCTCCAGTTCAGGACTGGGAAAGACTCCTGGATCATTAAACATAACTTTTTTTTCTCTTAAAACTATTCCTACTTGGAAGACTGTTCCTAATGCTTGTTACTTTGGTATCTAACAGCTTTGAATTAGAAGTGTTGTCCCTCCTTAGTATTTACCCTTCCAATAGGAATATGAAGGAACGAATCTCCCTTCTATATTTCACATTAGGAAAGTAAAGTAACAGAATTCCAAGTTTTCATTTTGTGATATGATTTCTCTCAATGTGACTTAGTTTGACTTTCCCCAAAGACAAGCAGACTTGTAAATAGTAGTCCCTGTATAGCAAGACCCTAATATAATTGTTTTCTCTGTTGGAACTCTCTTCTTATACTGCCTTGGATTGTGCTTTGGGATGCAGTCTCTGTGACCAACAAATGAGCCCAAGCCTTTCTTCTTGCCTATCTTTGATTCACATACTGCTAATTCTTAATTGACACTAAATATGCTATTAAGTGCTTAGCTTGTACTTCCTTGAAAATGTGAAGGTGTTTTCATGTTCAAAACATGAAGACGTTTTCACTGTAGATCTGCTGCTTCAGTTCTCAAGATCGTTTAGGAGATCTAATCTGTTTTCACATTGACCACGGATCCTAATTTTGCTAGTCCCCGTACAAAACTGGTTTTGTGGAGGGATTGCATCCTAAGTAAACTTTCTTCAGACTCAGACTTTATCTTTGCATGTGGCTTGTCCTAACCCAGCTTCTCCATCTTAACTTCTCATTTAGCACGTTACCACATTTGTAGAGGCCCAGATAACAGCATCTCTTCTATAAAGGAAAGCTGAATAGTTTTACTAAAGAGAGAGAAGATTAACTTGGAATGACCTGCTTCTGGGTAAATCCAAGTCTTATTTTATCCCACTTCTCACTTTCTCCATTCTCTAATCCTCTATGATAGGTGTTAGTCTTGCCCTCTGTAGAGGTCTGATGGTCATCCAGGTCTGTTGCCTCTTGCTGTTAGTGAAGGCTGTTTAAATGACATCTCCAGTTTCAGTACCTTACAAGTTCTTAATATTTATGAAGTATTCCCAGACTGAGTATAACAAGGTATTTGAGTTTGGTACCTGCATTTTAATTCCTCTTAGCCTTTAGGGGGATTCTTCCCCTCTTATTCTGATAATCCTACTTACTGAATATTTAAATCAAAAGCAGTAATTCGGGGGGCATTTTTAATTTCCGTTTTCCATATGCATTTTTTCCTTCCCCACCTTTTTTATTCATACAGGTTAAAAACCACCCAACTTTTCTTTTCGTGGTTTTTTTGGGTTTTGTTTTTTTTTTTTTTTTTTCTTAGTCAGAGTTAACTCTGCATAAAGGTTATTGTTCTACTTCCTATTATGATGACTCTGCCAAAAAAATGAATCAGTCACTCAGGGTTGCCTGTGGTGAAGTACAAATCTGTAGCCTTTTTTGAGGAATGAACTTTAGGTATTTGCAGTGAAAGTTGATCTGCTGCATAGCTTAAGCTAAGCTGATGACCTAGAAAAAAAAAAATCACATGAGCAAATGGAGGGGGATTGGAGTATGGTTTAGTTAGCCCTGATGAGATGCAGGTTCTGTGGATGATCCATGTTAATCGGAGGAGTGTATGGTCTTTTGTGGCACAAACATGACTTAGACAGCGAGATCAAGTGCACCCTCAGCAAGTTTGCAGATGACACCAAACTGAGTGGTGCGGTTGACACACCA